GTTAACCATGCCAAATGCTACGTGGTGCTCTTCATGAGTAAATGCCTGCAAAGTCCGAGTTACGGTCCATTATAATACACTGGTGATAGTACGTTTCGCTTTGCCATTTCAACACAGACTTCTATACGGCAACAAATGATGGAAAACGATGCTTAGAAACGCGCGAGAATAGAGAGAAAAAGCGATACGGCTGTCTTTGGGACCTTTGATAATTCTTTCATGCGGTTATATATGAGAATATTTTCATACTATAAATAGTAACCACATCTTTAGTGTCATCAATACGGAATTAATGGATATATGCACGTATGATGACAACATGATATGCGTATTAATTTTTTAAAAATCTATATAATGGGACTATTTACTTTTAATACAAATATATTATTGACCGTTATCTTTGAAACTGGATGATTAAGGAAGTCTTATTATTTAGATACAAAATCTAAAAATAAAATGCAATATCACATTGTCATCAATTGGATTTTAAACTCAATAGTTACAGTGACTGTGACCTCTTTACACCCAAAACTAAATAATCATATAATATACCATATCTATTTTTTCCATTCCCTTAATCACCATCCATTTATTGATTGGACAATGCATAACACCTATAACAAGTATTCTTTGGGCAAGCCGATTCAAAATTGTTTGAACTTTATACAGAGCAATAGACCTCCAGCTAAGGGAAACATTATTCCCTCTACCATTGCCGATCAACATACCATGCCATGCCTATCTAGTCCATGTTTTGTAACAAGAATTTTGCATCGCAAATGGTTGTTAAAAAGAAAACTCCTCCACCACCATTTAAACACATGGGATTGACTTACAAATTTAATTTTTCTGATTCCTAATCCCCCTTTATTTTTAGGACTACATACCTTATCCCACTGCTCTACTATAAAAAAGAAATACAAAAAAACAAAAAAAAGAAAAATCAAAATCCAAGTTCATTGAGAGACAATTTTAAAAAAAAATTTAAAAAAAAATGGATCGAATAACTTTCTTTGTAATTTCCATCTACAACCACAGAATTCTTGTATTTTCCCTAAAATTTTAGGGTCCCTAAGTAAATTACTTAATAGAATATGAAAATAAGAACGAAAAAAACAGGCAAGTCCGGTTCTAACTGAAAAACCCTCTCATGGCGCTCTCGTCCATGCCCACCCTAGTCCGGCATTGAGCCATACCGTGTGGCGTAGGCACCAGTCGGCCGATGACTGGTTTATGACTAGATAAGGATAATTTCGTCACGCCTTCCTCGTGGGCGGTCGCCAACAACCTGGCCGCGTCCAACTGGATCACGCATCGCTAACCGTCGATGGTGCCACAAGACGAAATCCCACGCCATTCGCCGCACGTGTCTCGGGGGTGGCTACGAGTCACATGCTACGTAACACGTGGCGGATGCCACAAAAGATCGGCGCCGACCTCACCGGTACGGGGAAATATTTTTAGTTTTGTAAGAAATAAATATTAATCAATTTTTAATTTATTATTCCCAAGTTTTAAGAGAATTTACTGTTTGTTAATTGCTGAAGTTAGTGGCAAACAGTGTTCACAAAATCAAATCGGAAAAACTAACCGTTCATGCATTGGGAGCGGTTACGAATCGGAATAATAAACTGGACATGCATTGGGAGTTGTTAAATTTTTTTTCAAAAAAAAAATAAAATAAAATAAAATAAAATAGACCAAGTGTATATCTTATTGCCTACATTTATTTTAAAAAAAAAAAATTTGAAACAACTTGTTGAAAATCTGCAATCAACCTTCTAAGTTGTTAAAAAGATGAGCTTTAAGCTGCTCCAAAAAAATCTTCTAAAACCAAAACTAAAATACCCAACATTTTTTATACAAAATAACCTTATAATCCAGCCACCGACAATAAGCTAAACCTAAATGATTTTTAATTTTTAACCAAAAAAACCTTTCTACTAGTTATGAAACCCGCATATCAATAAAATAAAAATCCATATAACAAACACGTGAGCACTATTTCCTAAAAATATTAATCTCGCATTTTGTTTCTAAAAAGTGTTGATTTCTGAGTTGTTGAGATCCATTGAAACCAATATAAACTATAATTCTTAAAAATAGATTAAAACCCATACAAACAATATCAGATTCCACCAAACCATCAACGAAATATGCTGATCAAAATGACAAAAACTAATACACTTATACCTCCAAAAATATCTCATAGTGAAACAAAAAAATACACTCCAAGAATAAATTTCTAAGAATAACCAAATCAATGAACATATCACGTATACAAGCAATGCATTTTGAGTGTTTTATTTTAAATTTAAAAGTACTTTCTTGTATAATTATTTTTTAGCAAAATAAAGTGGTAAAACAAAATATTCAAGCAATTCAAAAATCATATTAAAAAAAAAACTAAATGAAAAGTCACATGAAATTCATACATGTGATCTCAACTGTCAAAATCGATCATCAAATCGAGTACAAAATCGAGCAGTTGGCGGGTGTTTTTATGCTCAGTTCAGAAAAATTGAATCAATGCCCTAATATTTTAAAATCGAGCACCAATACTCGGATTTTCAATGAAATTAGGACTTGAATCTTTTGATTAACTCCATGATCTACAAAAGCCCTAGATTTTGATTGATAAAAAACCAAACACGAATCAACAATATGGACTATGGCAGATTTTTTCAACTCAGTTCTAAAAAACTAAGTCGCTGCCCTAATCATGCTCCAAATCTTAGATTTTCAATGAAATTAATAGTAAAATCCACTGACTAACTCCATTGTCTACAAAATTCATGGATTTTGATCGATAAAAATCCATTGTCCACGAAATGTAAGTATCGCGGATTTTTTGAAATCAATTTTGAAAAACTGAGTAGATACCCTAATCACTCTAAATCGAGGTCCAAATCTCTAATTTTAAATGAAATTGGGAGTAGAATATATAGACTAACTCTATTATCAACAAAAGCCATAGAATTTTATCGATAAAAATCCAAAACGAGGCCACAATATGCACCATGGTGGATTTTTTTCAAAACACAAAGAACACGAAAGTAATGGCCCAAAAATTCAAATTGCGGTATGTTTCCCGTTGAAATCCTTCATTTTTTTACCAATATATCAGCAACTTCAATCAATAATTTACTGAAAATTCCTGAAAAACACTAAAAAAGTAACAAAAATCGAATAAAAAAGGAATCCAACAAAAAATAAGGGTTCTGCATAAAATAACGGTTACTAATACAAATAACGGCGTACCACTAAATAACGGCGTTATTTCAACATTCTAACGTTATTTGTAAGTGTTTTCTAAAAACCGATCCAGTTAGGTAAAAACCATTCGGTTACCTTAATAAACGGCCGGTTCGTGTAGATTTGGCTGGTTTTGCGCCGAAAAATTTTTCGGTTCGTAGATATGCTTAGTAGAACAACAAAACCGGGACTTAATCGAAACCGTAAAGGTCTGGTTCCGTTCCAACATGCCGGTTCCGGTTGAAACCGGCCGTTGTTTCCAACACCGGTGGCAAATCGCTTTTCTGAATAAGTTAAATGATTGATAATAGTATTATTTAATGATGCTTTTAAAAGGAGTAAAGTGAGGTTCAAGGGATGGCTTCGAGCCTGACAGGCATAAAATGCTCCCGCGGGAGCTCCTTGTCAGTTTACTCTTTCATAGCATGGAGATGAGAAATTTTTCAATATAAGATTTGGTATCCACCCGAAAATACCCGATGATTAATTTGTATAAGGTGTATATTTTATATGGCGCACCTCAAAACTATATTGAAAAATTCAGTTTCGGTGTTGAAAAGCTTTACGATGGCATACAAATATATTGCTACCCATAATTATGAAATTTTAAACTCCCAAATAACATAAATCAAACAAATCTATGTACTATTTAAAATTTTGAAAAATAAACAGTCAAAATAATGCGTTACAAGATACATTATTTTATGATTTGAAATATCTTGAAATATTCTCTTTTGGGTGCAGTTTGTATAGAGCTGAGGCTCTAAACAGTCAAAATAAATCACACCTTCAAATAGTATCGAGAAATGTGGTTTCAATAGTGGATATCTTTGTGATAGCGTTAAAATATATTTTCATCTCTAATAATAAAATTACAAGCTTAAAAAATAGTGTAGATCGAGTAGATCTATAAAATCTTGAAATTTGACGGTTCAAAAATGCATTACAAGAAGCATTACTCGTGTCTATGCATCTTGATGTCAAGAGGATCAATTTGAAGATATTTGCGCATCAAAACAATCTAAAGTTTTGTGGTGGGCTCTAATTTGATTGGTTAGAACCTCTGCTCTATATAAACTTGTTCCTTCTCTTTTTTGTATCTATACATTTTGAAATGGGTTTTCAACATCGGAACACTCTTTTCTAATGAGTTTTCTAGGTGCACCAGTACTGCAATAGAATAAGTTTGACACATTTTATAAATTTTTTGTATAAGGTTGACACATTGCATATCCCTTATCATTCAAATATAATTTACTTTCGTTTGGACATATACACGGGGGAACATAGTTTATTTCTACCATATTGGTTAGAAGTCCAACTTGAGAGGATTTTTTCGAGAAAATTTGGAAATAGCTTAAGAATTATAAGATACTTAAAATTTAAGCGTTCTAATACTCAGATCTCACCATCTAAAAATTGGACAGTCTCTATTCAATCTCGAGACATTAATTTTTTCTACATGCATGGAGGGTATAATTAAAAAAAAAAATTGTGGTTAATTTATGGATTGAAAAGGTTGCAATCCCATAACTTAGGGCCCTAAAATTAATTCTAGATAGGGTTTTTGCCAAGGGAGTAAAGGCATATCATAGTCGCGCAGAGTATAATATCTTTATGGGTTTTCCTTTTGCATTGGTTGGTACGTCAGGGCCACAACGAGGGCCAGTTTGGAGTTTTTGCGTAGCAGTGAAAGAGAGAAATGGTATGTGGACAGGCATATAAAGGGGTGGCATTCACTCTTCTCTGTAACTGTAATTGAACAAATGGAATGAGTTTCGTTCCATGATTTGGAGAATATATTATGTGATTATTAAATAGAGATGGGGATATATCGAGAGTAAGGTGGACGTCTCTAAAGCGATCAGGATTATATGAGGGACCACTGCTCTTTATTCCCACCTCCTCCTTCATCTTCTCTCGTCCCTCACTTCTTCACCTTTGAGGAGTAAGCCGAAGCTCTCCTCCCCCTCACTCACTCTCTCTCTCTATCTCTCTTTCTAAATCCCCAGATATCGGCTGAGAGGGCAATGCGCAGATCCCTTTTCTTATACCTCAGCAAATAGATATGTAATACTGCTGTGGGGTTGAGAAATAAGAGAGAGAAAGAGTTAGAGGAATGGACCACTTTCTGGTTGCTTTCCTTATGGCCGTGATTTCATTCCTTGGAGGTAAGAAATGAGCCCTTCCTTTCTGCATTTTTCAAAGGATGCTGATAATGAAGAGAAGAGATTGTTCTTTTTTAACTATGATGAAATGGGGTTTCTTGATTGTAGTCATTTTGCTTTGAATTTCTTTTTAAATCTGTTGAGGATTTGGGTCCTTCTGTAACTGATTCTATGCAGGAGCAGCAGGCTCCACATTCACCATCATAAACAACTGCGACTACACTGTGTGGCCCGGCATCCTCTCCAACGCCGGGAGTGCGAAACTGTCGACCACTGGCTTTGAACTGCAGAAAGGGCAATTCCAAACCCTGCAACCGCCCGCAGGCTGGTCGGGCCGCTTCTGGGGCCGCACAGGCTGCACCTTCGACTCATCTGGCAGAGGCTCCTGTGCAACTGGCGACTGCGGCTCCAACCAAATAGAATGCAATGGTGCTGGCGCTGCCCCTCCCGCAACTTTAGCCGAGTTCACTCTCGGCGTGGAGACCCAAGATTTCTACGACGTGAGTCTCGTGGACGGCTACAATTTGCCGATGATCGTCGAGGGCAATTCTGGCGGTTCTGCCTGCGCGGCCACCGGTTGCCTGGCGGATCTCAACGAGCGGTGCCCTGCGGAGCTGAGGGTGGCGAGTGAGGAGGGGAATGTGGCGTGCAAGAGCGCGTGCGAGGCGTTTCGCCGGCCGGAGTTTTGCTGCAGCGGCATGTTTGCGACGCCGGATACGTGCAAGCCGTCTTATTACTCGGAGTTGTTCAAGACGGCCTGTCCGAGGTCGTACAGCTATGCCTATGATGATGCGACCAGCACCTTTACCTGCACCGGCGGGGACTACACTATTACCTTCTGTCCCACTACTTCCAGGTGACCCACCTACCTTCTCTTCTCCTTCCGTCTCTCTCCAGTTCTTTTCCATACTCTCTCTCTCTCTCTCTCCAGTTCTTTTTAATACTGTCTCTCATGCTCCAAGTGTTATTATTATGCTCCATAAGTTATTCTCTCTTTCGCTCTCTCATTTCCATATGCCCCGCAAATTA